ACACAGACAGCCCGGGATAGACCGTTACAGGAAAAACCAGGAACAAGCATGCTGTCGAACAGGGACCAAAATCCTCTCCTCAACAGTATGTCAAGCTCTCTGCACTTCAGAAGCGCCACACCCCCAGCAAGGTAAAGGAAAGTACTGAGAAGTGACTGTCCAAGAAACACTGCTACATACAACCGGCTGAGCTTACCTCCAATTTTTCTACATTTCCAATTCCATTACAGGTAAAAAAAGATTCTTCAGTATGTACTTTTAAAGTTTGCTATGTGAATCTAAAAGAAAAATTAACAAATTAAGTTTCAATCACTTCTCCATCATCTGAGATCTTTAATATAAATTACATCATCTAATAGTTTAGCTTGAACTCAAAGAGGAACTCATTTTCTACCTTATGTATTGGGTTCTTTATTGATATGCAACCTTATAATTATCCTACCAAGGGACTTTGTCTTATCACACCATCCTTTTTTTGACCATCAAAAACAAAGACTCATAATAAACACAGTACAATTGCTAAGCAAGTTTCTCTCCTATGTCAAGAGCAGAAATGGAGAATAGAAAACAGGGCGCTTTTCAATCAAGAAACTTAAAGTTCTTATGGTTAAAAGATTTAAATGAAAATTTCACATTAAAAAAAATATTTATATATTCCTAATGTGAAACTACTGCCATCTAATGGCCTCACATAGAATTACAAAGTCATAAAATAAAATCAACAAAAGGAAGAAAAAATAGAAAATTAATATCATGAAGTTAAATAACATGCTACTAAATGACCAATGAGTTGCTGAAGAAATGAAAAAGAAAATCAAAAACCTTCTTGAAGCAAATGATGCTATTCTGTGACCTATGAGTCAGTGAAGTAACTTTTTTCGAATAAATGAAAAAACAAACAAAAAAATCAAACCCCCTAAGATGCAACAAAAAGTTTTTAAACATTTAAAACTTAACCATACTTTTGAAATATTACTAGATAACTTTATTGTTGCAACTTAAATGATATGAAGCAGAGGTAGATGCATGCTGGCTTAGGTCATATAAATTCTATTGTTCACTTTGGGGTACATAAAGAAGTACATTTAAGTAGACCAGTGCTGTGGCAGGTAAAGCCTCGACCTGCAGCACTGGTATCCCACATGGTGCTGAGATGCGTCCTCAGTGCTCAAATTCTCACCCAGTTCCCTTCCGCTGACATGGGGAAGCAAAGGAAGCTTGGGCTCAGGTGCTTGGGCTAGTGCCACCAACATGGGCAACATGGATGGCGCTCTTGGCTGTTGGCTTTGGGCTGGTCCATTCCTGGCCTTGGTGGTCATCTGAAGAGCGAACCAGCAGATGGAAGATCTCTCCCCCTCGCCACATACGACACTGCCTTTCACATGAATAGATCTTTTTTCTTATTCCTCTCCATAAAAACGATGTGACAAATAATATTTACACTATAAATGTTAAAATATGTATCATAAACCCACAGAAGATCATTCAGTGACTTATTCTGGAAACTACAGCCTAAGCTAACTGATGAAAAGATTTGATTTCAGCAAATGACAAATTACAGGGCAAGTAAAAGTAACAAATAGCAAATAAGACTTATATTACTAAACTATTATATGTATTAAAAGATGAGCCAGTAGCCCTTGACCCTTTGTGTCCTAATCAACTATGTGAAGATTATCAAAATAAAGTAATTACAAAAAAGATGAGTCACTAATGATGAAATTTTAGAAAATTAGCAATATCATAACTTGTCATGTATAGGATTTTCTGTTATTACATAACTCTGGTTATAACAAAGTTCTATGCGATATTTTGTCAAAGATGATAAAATTTCACACATGGCACTTGGCATAGTAGTCTTAAGATAACCACATCATGTATCAGGGTGTCTAAGTTCATCTCCCAGCTCCACTTCAGGTCCCAGCATCTTGCTGATGCATATCTGACGAGGCAGCAAGTGGCTAGGTCCCTGCCTCCAGTGTGGGTGACCTGAACTGGCCTCCTGGCTCCAGGCATTAACCTGGCCTGGCCCTCTCTCAGAGCACTTTGGTGCAGTGACTTAAGCCATCCTCTTGATATGCCCACATACAATACCAGAGTGCTTGGGATCAAGTCCTACCTGCAATTTTGAACCAGTCTCCTGCACTCTGTAACAGAATGGCACACATACTTGGGTCTGGGCCACCATGGGAGACACCTGGACATATCTGACTCCTGGCTTTGCCCAGGCCCACTCCCACTGCTACAGGTCTTCGGACAAAGAACCAGTTAATAAAAGATTTTTCTCTCTCCCTTTGTGTGTGTGCTTGCACGCATGTGTAAGTTATTTTGCCTTTCAAAGAAAAAAGTAATTAAAAATTCTTCACATCATGCTGATATCATCCAGGAGTGAAATAATCTAATTTTACCAGCCAACAAATAACATAACTATAGTTCATGCTCTTCAGAGATCTGAAACAAACAAAAAATATTACTTGCTATATGTAACATAATACCACCTATTATTAGAATCCAATATTTTAATTGACTTTATCAGCCTTAAACAATGCCATAGGCGGGTGACTGAAGTAACGCAGGGCCCAAACCAAGGTGTCTCAGGGCTGGTTTCGGGTGAGGCCTCTGTCCTGAACTTGCCAACAACTGTCATTGTGTCCTCACGTGACTTTTTCCTGCATTTTACGTGTCTCTTCCTCTCTGTGGAGGGCATCCATTTTATGGGGGATCAGGGCTTCAACGTATGAATTGATGAACAGTACAATTTACTTCGTATCACTGATGTTTAATATACTATTCAAAGAACTGACATTGAGTAATAGATTGAACAACTAGCTGTAGTTGTTTTTATCAGAGTGGTGAAAGCTTATTTGTAAGGGGAAATGTAAAGTCTTCATGTAAAAAAAATTTTATAATACAACTAAGGTGAATGTATTTAAGCTCAACATTATACATGGAACCGGGAAGAAGAGGAATCCCTTTCCCTCCATCTGTCCTTGGAGGAGCTAAAACTAGAGCTTGATTTAGCAGACAGGAAAGAGGAACAGGACTCCAGGATGATGGGACTAGATAATCTGAAAAACCCTCCCACAGACTGTAAATGAGACAGATTCCAGCCAAGGACTCCTCAGATGGACATGAGGCCTCTGGTTTCTCCGAAAGGAAACAGGACTGCTGGTGGGCATGTCCAGGGGCCTGCTGCAGGCCAAGGCCACCTGCTTACACACTGCCACAGCGCGTTTTTCTCCTTCTTGAAGGGCGTCCTCCTCCTCTACCCCTTCCCTGGGAGTTTCCTGTTCTCTGACCAGCGCAAACAGAGATCATCAGGAAATTCCCAAGAAAATATCTTTGTAGACTCTTTCCCTCTAGCAATGAGTGTTCTAGATCACACTTCCAACACAAGTCCTAAAAGTGCTTTCCCACAGAAACTTAATGTATCTCCTAAGGAGAGCTGGGCCTTGAACCAGGCGGTCTTCTGAGCCTCGTGGTAGGTACAGCATTGGAGGGGGCAGTGTTGAACGCTAGGATGAACGCCCTCCACCGGCCGAAAAACATGTCAAAGTGAAACCAGAGAAAGTTGTGAACCAACCCAACTTTTTCTCTATTGGTTCCCAAACACTAGTTGGGCTTGTATCAGTGAAGAGCTCAGCCATTTGGAGGATTCTTTACTATTCGCACTCCAGAGATTAATTCAGGGCTTGTATGGTTTACAGTGACAAGTCACCAACTTATTCCAGTGGGTCCACTAAGTGTAATAAGTGTTCTACCCAACGGAACCAGCTATTCCATTAGATTAATCTTCTCGTGGATCTACTGACTTCACAGAGCTCAGTAATTTTAAGGGTGATGTTGTTCTCAATTATATCTCCACTATTTCTTGACTATTGATTTTTTCCCCACAAAACAACGTGGTCTCATACTCTTAAAATAGAAGCCATTTAAATACATTTGTATTTATTTTTAAAGATTTGTTTACTCTTATTGGAAAATCGGATTTATAGAGAGGAGAGACAGAGATTTTCCATTCGCTGGTTTACTCCCCAAGTGGTCACAATGGACAGAGCTGAGCCAATCTGAAGCCTGGAACCAGGGGACACAGACACCCACTGTATTTTATGAATTAACCTTTCACCACTACATCTAAAATGATGCCAGTTACATAGTCTGAGAGAACTGAGCAAACTGCTGCTAATAATCTTTACAATTTGGTTTGCAAAATTCACTCTTCTGTGGTATGCTTTACATGCTTTTAGGACGTTTCTGGTGTTCTTTCACAGAAAAAAGAAAAAAGCAAGCACAGTTAAAAAAAAAAAAAAACAGGACCATTACCTAATAATCAATACCAGTACGGCTTCCTGAATCAATATCATTTTGCAAACTATTTCATAAATTTATTTGACAGAGTAATTTTCTTCCATTTTCCTACTTTGGTGACTCAAAGTTTAGCTGGGCTATAGTTGAATGCAAAAGTCTCCTTGGAAAACAAGCTATTTTAAAATTGTGGGAACAGGTACTTTAGGGATTCCCTTAGAAAAAGTAAGTCTATTTCATCCGGTGAGCAAAAAGTCTACCCCAAACTGTAGGCTAATCCTAGATTAAAGGGATATTGGTAGCTTTTTTAAAAAGTGTCTATAATCTACAATATTCCACGCCAAAGCCTAAAAGGGTCTGCTTTAACTTTCCACTCCCCTAACCTCCACCACACCGGAAGGGGAGCCCTGGTTAATTCTGTGGTAACATTTAGTAAGGGCTCCCAGCTATCAGTCTTGGCTGCATCCCACATCCCCCTCTCACCCCAGTTCCCGGAGTAGCGGCACCGCGCCCGGTCACCTCACGCCCTCACCATTCGGGAGCAGCAGACGCTCAGGTACCCGGGCACTGGCCAGGACGCCCTGACTGGGCGGGGCTCAGGACGCCGGCCGCGTGAGGGGCGGGGGAAGCGTGGCCGGGGGTGGCGCCGCCGGGCGCGGGATGCGCGAGGGACGGCCGCAGCCCCGCCTCGCCCCGCCCCGTCCCGGCCTGGCCGGTCCAGCCGCCTCTCGTCCGGGCGCGCCTCGTCACCCCGGCCGGCAGAGGCGTTCGCCGGAGCTTCCCCGCTCCCTCGCAGCCATGGCTCAGCACTTCTCCTTGGCCGCCTGCGACGTGGTCGGCTTCGACCTGGACCACACTCTGTGTCGCTACAACCTGCCCGAGAGCGCGCCGGTGAGTGGCGCGGGCTTCCCGGAGCGCAAGGCGCGCAGCCTCCGTGGCGGCTGCGGCTCGGATTGCCTCCGTGCTCGGGAGGCCGGGCCCCAGAGGCCTGCAACGCCGCGCCTTTGCGCACAGCTCCGCCCACGGCGGGGCCAGCGCGGAAGTGTGCGTCCCAGTCCGTGCCCGAGCCTTAAGACTGTCTATTAATAACCTTTAGTCAAGTTTGAGAAGGGGAGGGAGGATAATCGGTGAGGAGAGACAGATGATGCTAGATCATGTTGGGGAACCGTTTTCTGGAGCAAATGAGGGGCAGGGCCAGGGGACTGGAAGTGTCCTTGTGGCAGATGCTCCGGGCTTTGGAACTTCCCTGCAAGTCGTTTTGTGCACCAGCCCTACGTGTGTGCAGCCACCTGATTTGGGAGTGGGGCTTTTCTTGGCAGCACATTTCTTTTCCTGCGTCCAGCCCAACATCCACCAATGTTTAAGCTGTGCCGCCAAGGAGAGATTGTGTAATGTTCTGGAAAGACAAGTGGTAGAGGAAATCATCAACATTTTAGCGCCAGTTTTACATATTGCGCACCTAATCTGGGCTCTGAACGATGCGAGTACTAATCTTAGCAACAGTTTGGGAAGTTTGGGTCCTCTGCCCTCTGCAGGCATGAGGAGTATGCGTGCTGCAGTAGCTCAGATTCCGTGTCAACACCTTCAGCTTCCTGGTCTTTCTCCCTACCTGAACTTTTATAGTCGCAAATCAGAGCATCCATACAGCAAAAAGCCGATTATGAGCACAGCGGTATGCCAAACCGCGTTTTAGTATACCAGACCCACCTGTGCTCGCCCTGTGACTGGAAAGCTTCTTCATCAGTATGTTGTTTTCCCATCTCTAAAATGAGGCTGTTATTGGATTTGGCTCCAATGATTAATGCAAGGGTTGAGTGGGCCTTAGGTGTATGATGCTGAGAGCAGCCACTAGGGCAGCTTTTATGATTACCATCCAATGCCCTTGAAAACCTCAGTGAATGATGAGGTCTGCGATGAAGCCAGAGACCAGGGCTGTGTTATGGAGTGCAGCCAGTGATTGCTCCTTCACCTCTCCTTCTATACTCTTCCCCCCACGTCCTAATTCGGCTGGGATGTTGGATGCAGATAAGTTCAATTAGTCTTTTTAGCTACAAGCCCAGTTCCTGTTCCTGCCCATCCCAATGAGCGCCAATTAACTCCTTAACTCACAACACTTAGGTATTTGCTCCTGCCCACCTGTGACTCATCTATCAACTGGGAAGGGATGGTATTGCATTGTTGTGTAACCACTCCCCTCACAAGCCCCTTTAAAAGGCCTGTGAAACGGGGGCTCACTCACTCACTCTCCTGATCAGCTGTTTCCGTTACTCTGGTACCTCTACTCTTGACTGACCCAGGACAGGTAATCCCCTGAGCATGATCCCTGTGTACTGCTTAGATAACACAACGGATGTAATAATATTGTTTCTGGCTTGTGTGCTGTCAGGAGTTCCAGGAGAGGTGAGGCCTAGCAGTGATGGAATGTGGGCAGAGAAGCCAGGGAAAGGCAAATGTCTGCAGCTTTGAAAGTGTGTCCAGGTTATTTGTTGCATGTCTCTTAGGATAACTTGTATTGTTTGGGAAGCTGGGACATAGGTCTTCAGCTTAATGCATGGACTTAAGGATAATGACCATTTGTTCCTTTTGGGATTATGTTTGGTTGGATTGCTGTATGGACTTGTGATTTGCTATTGTGCTCTATTATCACCAGGCTTGGTTAATAAAGATTCCTTAATGAACCTTAGGCATGTCTGGTGTGATCTCGCTTGCACCCTGCAACATTTGGAGGCCCCAGCGAGATAAGAGATCCCTGGTCAGAGGGCAGTGGCCATCCTGTGCTCTGGAACCAGGCTCAATAGTCTGGGGAGGCCACTGTGATGGTTAACACGGTCCCAGCACCTGATCCTGACTTTCTGGCTCACGGGATTCACACTGACCCTTAAGAGGAGTCACTCAGTTCCGTATGACTGGTCACTGGTGAGTTTTTATCCATAAGCAGGACTCGCTATATGGTCTGATGATCTGATTCTGTTTCTGGGAGTACTCATAAGTGGACTGGTAAAGAAGGCTGCACGCGGCTTAACTTCTGAGTCCAGACCGTACAAGATGTTATGCGGGCCATCTGGGTTGGGTGTCCCAAATGTTGGGTTCTCTACGTCTGGTGGATTGTGTGGCCTCACATCTGTCTTGTCTGCATTTTAAGAAAAGGTTTTGTTTTGCAGTAACAGCACTGAGCCTCGGAACTCTTTGAAACCTAAGATGGAATGAATTTGTAATCTCAATTCTTGCGCCTCTTTTTCTAGCTAGAGTTGCTTTAGGAAAATCTCGAAATTGTTAGCATGCGGGCTGTCTGTGTTTGCTGATTGGGGAATGTTAAACCTTATGATTACTGTGAACTAGGTTTTGGAGTTTTCTGTAACGTAATTTTGTATGTTTCCTGGGTTGTCTTCGTATAGTTAGTAAGTACAAATTGCGCAAAGGTAAAAGTCTATTTGCATATTTAAAAAATAAATTTGTCATGTTCTTTTATTTAGAGGGATTGTTTCAAATTATAAATCAAGGATGTTGGCAGATGGAATATGGTTCATCAGTGGTTAAAGGGTTCTAAAAAATGTTGGGACTTTTAAATGCCTTTTCTGCAGGAGAATGGTTATTACTCTGGAATAAAAGGTTGGGAAAGTCTGGAACATTTGAGGAATGAGTTTTAATGATATGCTAATATCTGAATTGGTTGAAATCTGATTTGAAATCTGTAGAAAGGTTCTTTTGAATATTAATATGTAGGTGTGGTAGTAAATATCTGAAAACAGTTAATTTGTTAGAAAAACTAGAAGTTATAAATGTTTCCCTCTGCTCCTTTGCTTTGAGGCATTTATTCAGAAATTTTGTATTGGTAAGTTTCTGTTTAACTGGTGACTGTTGACTTCCCAGCCAGCTCCAGTAAATTTATTTTTGTCCCCACTTTTATGTTTGTTAAATTCTTGAAGTAATATTTGTTCTCAGTCTCATTAAGTTCTCATTGGTATAACATTTGTATGAGGACAACTAATTGGGTAAGTGCTTAATGATAATTCAGACATGAGGGAATGTTAAAATGTGCCAACAGGAAGCAGTTCTTACAGTAGACTCAGACTGACATCTCAGTAGTACTCAGTGGCCTCAGAATCAGCCCAAAAGGCATTCTGGTCTGGCATGACAAGAGAGTATAAGAGGTGTGGAAAGCCAGGACAGTGCTGCAAAGAGTGTCCTTCCATGAAGAACCTCAGTGGTTCACACCCCAGTGCAAAGAAGCAGCCATCAAAGATAGTTTCTCTCTTTGGGGGAGAGAACTTCCACTTTGTGTGTGGCTTTGTCTAAGGATTCCTGGGGGTGTTGTGGATTCAAGAGGCTTCCACAGCTGAAGCATCCTGTGTCAAGAGCCTCAGGTGATCACTGACGTCACACATAAGAGTGCTAATTTGTTAAATTCACTAGAAGGGGTTCAGGCCTTGGGGTTGGGGGAGGCTACAGCTCCCTGCAGTGTGGTGGCTATGGGGGATGCGCCTGCTGGGACAGACCTGAGGCCTAGGCTTTGGGCTAGCCCTGGGGTTTTTAGGATATGTATTTGCTGTCTTGGGACACCCATGAATAAGGCCAGTTTTAGTGTAGGTGAGAGATCAATTCTGGGTGATTCCCAGTAACAGGGTCACGAAACTTTTGGGCAAGTGTGGGGATTGAGACCTGATGGTTTGGAGAGGAGTATCCATAAGATTTATTTGTGCCAAACTGATTCACCAGCCAAATTAGGAATCCTGAGATGGGCTGTTAGCATAGAGCATCACTGACTGCTACACACCAGTCCACACCAAAGCTATGGATGGGGCCCTGTTTGGCAGGGCTAGGTACCATTACCTGACTGGGTGGTGGAATAGTGGACTGGTCACATTTGGCAGGGTCAAGACACTAACCAGCATGCGAGAGAACTTGGACCGGGAGTAGACTCTGTGTGGGCAGTGTGGGCCCAACCTTGTGGAAATACAAGTCCTGCAGGTTAGTTCACGAGCTGGGGTGGCAAGGGGCTAAACAAGGAGTGACCATGGCACCTGCTATCACTTATGGGCAAAGGAACCGATGGCAATCTGGGCAGATCAAGGCAGCACCACCTGAAAGTGCATCCCAAAATAGGATGTGGGATGGGCCGAGCTGCAACTGAGAGTGGAGCAGGCAGGGCCAAGCAAATTTCAACTTACAAAAAGAACAGAAATCGGGATGGAGCGCATGTCATGCTGACCTAGGCTCTTACACCAATTGGTCTGCATGAGGCAGGGATAGTATGCCACAGCATCGAAGGCAAAGGCTAAGACAGGTGAGGGGCTAAGCCAACTGAGTCAGAGCAACCTACTGGCACGCGCATAATCTAGGGCTGGGAATAGACTTCGTTGGGGAGCTGTGAGAGTACACTCTTGCTGGGTTGGGATTCCCACGGGAGGGCGCAGGGGCTGGAGTGCAGGCTGCATTCTGGTCTGGATATGGCTGCAATCTACCTTGGCACAAGTGTGGACTGGAGCTGGGTACACCAAACTGGCCTAGACGCCAGCACCATCTGATGCTCTGGAGATCCTGGGTAGACGTAGGACAGACTAGGCTGGGTCTCTGCCCCTACTAAGCCATGTGTGAGCAGTGTCTGGGTATGGACAAGCCTTGGCTGGGCTGAAACATCCAATACCAAGAACTGGATGAGGGCTTGTCCATGGAACCACCAGTACATGCAAGATCTAGCACAGGGAGAAGTTCTGAAGGAGGAGCTTGGGAAACTCCACTGTGGGACACAGTCCCTACAAGTGAGTGCAAGAGCCACTAGAGGGAGCAATCCAGAACAGGCCAGAGGAAAATATCCACTGGCATACATATGGGCATAGGTCAGGGGCAGACCAGGCTGAACCCGTTCACATCAACTGCTGGCGAATCCAAGC